CGGGGCTCGGGACCTCCTCCCCCGCTGCCCGCGGTGGCGGCGCGTCCCGGCGGGTCCGGGCACGGGCGAGGCAACGGCAGGCCGGTGGTTTCCCCTCTTGGGAAGGAGGATGGATCGTGTCGGGCTGGATGGGTGCATCGCCCTGGCCAGATCCAGGCGGTGGGAAGCCGCTCGGAGCCCACCGATCTGGTGCTAAAACACGTTGGGGTTGCAGGGCTCCTGTAAGAGCTTCCTGTAACAAAACAAGCCTTACCCAAAGCAAATTACACCTATTCCAGGAACAATTTACATCTCCAGCAATCTGTAGTACCCTGTCAAGAGTTACAAGCTGTTCTCACGTTAAAATAGAATCTCATCTTGAAAGGTATTTAATGTTAATTATAATGTACTTTCTATATTAACATTAAACAAAAGAACCTGTGGCTCCTGCTGTCCAGTGTATGGAGGTGAGTCATTGCTTAGCTTGTTAAATCAGCACCCACGCATGCTTCCCATGCGAGTGTGCCCAGTCGCTGATTTTGACATAAACCAGCAGGTTGGGTAGTGTCTTGGAAGGATGGGACCGCGTATTTTACATGCTGAAGCATGTTATTTTCTCTGACCAGTGACAGTTCATTGTTCCATGTTTGGCCTAAGTGCTGTTAAGTTTTAAAGTCATAGATTTCACACGTGTGAAACTTCAGTCCTGCAAACACATAGGAGATCCATGATAAATTGATTTTGAGCAAACCAGCTAATAAGTGAAAAGCAAACAAAGAAGGTAGATAAACTGTCATTAAAATTGTACTAGAAATTAGTCTGACAGGAGCAGTTTAGTTTAAGTGACTGAAAACTTGCTGGCAGGTTAATCCATAGTTTATAACCTATTCCTTGTGAAGCAGGAAGAAACATCACAGGTGTCTGCCTTTAAATCTTAGCCATTATGGTTGTGAGTCTGTGCAGGCCGAGTCAGACACTGCTATCTTCTTTGATCTCGTGGCGCAACACATTACTCAACACAATGTTCTGTTAAGGTCCTAAAGTGGAGCCGGGGTTGCTGAAGTTGAACCTGTTGACTAGTGGGGGTTTTTTTCTTTACTGAGGTGATAACCTTATGACACAGTTGTTGCATTATAGGTGACAGACACTCAACTCAAATTTGCTGGGCTTCTCTGTACGTGTTAATTGTATCTCATTATGTTGCTTGTTAGTTACTTTGCTTCTCTCAGGTCTGACCATGTGGGCTTCAGTGGTGCTTTTATTCACTTGCTCAGGTTGTCTCTTCCCTTTCTCTTTATCTATTGAAAATAAAGAACCCCTCATTTTGTCAAATTTCTGTATTACCAATATGATAGATGTTTTCCTAGTCACTTTAGATGCCTGTTTACAGAAAACAATGGCGTTTCCAAGAATACTGACACTGATCATTGACTATTCTTGTCCACTAGCCAGCATAAAAAGATATGATGCATGTCCCTCTCAATGCATGTGTTCTCATGCCTGTTTGTGACAGATTCTTAAACTGCTTTGCTACTTTCCAGACATTTTCTCATGAAGGTTAACTGTGTAAGTAAGTCTGATAACATTACTGTTTTACCTATAAATGAAACTGGATAATCAAGAGGGATAAGAACATCAGCAATAGTCCTAGACCATTTGCATTTGGAAATCTGCTCTGGCTTATTTGGTTTGTTGTTTTCTCTGTAGTTGCACTCATTAAAAGATGTGCTCTCAAATCACTTCTTTTCTGAAGAAGATCAGAGAACTCCTTAAAAGGGAGTTGGAATCCTAAGATTTGAGTATTGCAGTGCTTAACATACAGTGCCCCAAAACTCAGTCCTAAGTACCTAGCCTTTTTCTCCATTAAGAGAATTTGACACCTTAGAACAGGGTTCAGGGTAAACTACCGTTCTTGCTGAGCCAGAAACTGTCTGAGATCTCCAAGAGGAGTCTGCTCAGGATCCCTTAAGATAGGTTGTTGGAAATGTGGCTCCCTGCCTTGAGGCCAGAGCTCTTGTCCTCCCACAATGCAGGGCTGGGCTATTTTCCCTGAAGATGGGCTGCTACGGCCATATCTTTCAAAAGCTGAATTAGATACTGCTCTCCGGGTGTGTTTTCTATTTATTTTCTCATAGCAACTGGAATGCTACTGTCACCCTCTTGCACTGTGGACCTCTGCACTTGTTCTGAAGCTAGCTATAAAAGTCTGATGCCATCCTTTTGTTTTGAAAACATAAACATGTTAAGTTAGATGAAAAGTTTGGATTACAGACCTATAGAGAAATGTAGTGGGCAGGTATCTGAGATACAACTCCAGGACCAGCTGGCCAACCAGCAGCAAAAAAATAACTTTACTGTCTCATCTTGTCTGAAATAAAATCATTTCAGGGCATCAGCATCACTTATGTTTCACCTCTTTCATGCCATCTCTGTCATTTTTTTGTGATCATGATCAACTGTTGCAAGTCTGCATGGTACCCTTTCTCCTGCCCCTGGGTTACTGTAAGCTCTCTGTATGTTCCTCCTCAGTACAGTCATTTTTAAGTCACCCTGTGTGCCCCTTTTCTCCTACAACTTTAATCCACTTACCATGGTTATGCAACGCCAGGCATCTTCAGAGGAAGTCTGGGCATGAAAGCGATGCATGGTTTGGAGGGTTTGATTCGTGGTCTGCAGGAACAGACCTTTCTTCAGTTTCTCTGCACAGAAACTTCCTCCTCCAAAATTCCTCTACTGAAAAAAAAAGAGGGAGAGGGGCTGACAAGTATAATAGTATTATTTTCAAGCTTTTTTTGACAAAGCCATGTCGGTTTACTGTTTTTAAGAGTTTTACTTACATGCAATAATATCACTTGATCATAGTACTACAACTGGGGACTGCAGCCCATGCTGGTCAGCTCAGATGAAGCCTGGATTGGCAGGGACTGAACAGCAAGAGGCATTCAGCATGACTGTGCCTGCTTTTTGTTTCCTCTGGCTTTCACTGATGTTTGGTTTGAGTATCTTCCTTCTGCAGAACTGCTGAAACCACTGTTTGTATTTCCTTCCCCAAATAAAGCTTGGTTAACAATTTACCATCTTCTAATGTTGGGACCATTTTTTGCAGTTTTGTTACCAACTGAATGGTGCTACAATGCCAAAAACTCTCTCTACTTCTTCCGCCTAATGTATTTGCCAATTTTGAGGTTAACATCGCATTAATATCATTACTTTGCTAAATGGTATCAAAGGCAAACACAGAGAAAAGGTGAATCAATTTCCCGTTAAAGTAACACTGCACAAAACAATTCACAAATTCACGTGATTCACAAAATACCATAATATTGATTCTAGACATGCACTGCATGTGTAGTTTTGCGCCCCTAGATGACGGACTTTCCATCACTTTTTCCTGGACAAAGCCATTGTGCT